GACCTTGTTTGAGGGTGAGGGAGCATGGTACAGTAATGTTTGGCTACAAACAGAAGCTTTAAGTTGTTTACCTTTTATTCTGGCCTACAAAGACCAACATAAAACTAGTGATAAAATTCAGTTCACTCCCTGCATTAAAAGGCAACAGCTTACTACATTTATACTTGAAATACTGGTGTTTGGGAAGTCCTGAGGTTATTTTTATTCAAATGATTCTTAAACTCGTTGTAATTAATTTCAGGGTTTTGTTGGGTGTGGTTTTTTAGTTTTTGGGGTTTTTTTTCCTCTTTTACCTTCTTGTATGTTTGCTTGCTGAAGGAGCAGTTAAGGGTAGTTCAGAGGATCTGCTGATTTGATCCTAGTCAGGATTGCTGTAGTCCTGGGGCTGCCAGGGCTACACCTTTTCTCTTTCCCCTCCACACTTCCTGGCATCAGGTTTGTGTCATCCTGCAGTGAACTGGTTAAGGAAATCTATTTGGCCAAATAGTTTTGGGTTTGGTTTGTTTGGGTTGTGGGTTGGTGGTTGTTTGGTCCGCCCCCCCCCCTCCTTGGTCAGATCAGCCATGTGATCTGAATATCAAAGGTATGTCCTCTCCAATATAGATTGACTTGAGCACCTGTGAAAATAAACCCACAGGAAGAATGGAAGTAAAGATAAAACCAAGAGGTGGATGTAACACGTAATATGTAGCTTGTGATGATATTCCTTGATCATCAATTTCAGGATAGTCTGTACTACTGTCTTACTAGCTCTGACTTGTCTGGAATTTGGCACCTAATACAAAATGATAGCGTTAATGCAGATAACAGTCATGGCAGTGGAACTTAAATATGAAGCAAATTAAGTGCACTTCGGTTAGAAACTTAAGGTGCACAGTGTTGCTTTCTTGTGTTCTTCTAGTTTGAATGGCATTGTTTCTATTGTGCTGCATAGAAAACTCAAATTGCTACAAAATACAGAAGTTACTCACCAGTACTGTATCTTTGAATTCATTAGCTTTTGGTTTTCTAAACAAAACTAAGACAATCAGCTCAGGTTTATTAAAACAGCAGAGTGAGCAGCCAGTTTCCAGCAACAGTGTGTGTGTGTGGGTTAGATGGTATATCCTTGGCCTTATTGCAAAATCACTTAAGCTGTCCTTTCCCTCTCTCGGAACTATTTTATTGCATTTATGTGTTTAAAGAGATATCCATGAGCTTGTATTCTGTGCTTCGAAGTGAGCAAAACACTCTTCTAAAGTGTGACAGAGTTCTCCTTCAGCTCAGCAAAGCAAACTGTATGCTTAGTATATAACTTTTTTGGCCTCAAAGGGCTATCTTTTGGGAAACTTGCAGGACACTTCATAGCATGGAAGACATTGCCACAAAAAAGTTGTTGCTCTGTAAAATGTTGCTAAAATGCTTATTCATGAGCTATGCTGATCCTGTTTTAGGTTGCTGATAAAGTATGCTGGTAAAGCAAACTGAAAATAATTTTTGAAGTGCCTTAAAGTTGCTTAATCTTTTGCCTCAAATTTTGTTTAAAAGGGTAGAAGGGATACCTTGCCTTAGTTATTAAATTTTTCTCAGTGCCAGCAATTGCTACTTTCCAAGACTATAGGAAACCCAGGATCTCTGACATGTACCGATGCTGATCTGAGAAACTCAAGCTAGTACTATATCTATATAATCATGTTCTGGAAGACCTGCACTACGCACTGCTTGCTCATTAGCCTTGCCAACAAGGTATAATCCACGGTTTACAGTTGTGGCTCGGATTGTTTCCCTTTCAGTTGTTTGGGGGGAGGGGAGGCTGGGTTGTACATCTTCACCATGTGCTTGGCTGTGTCACTATAGAAAGTAATTACTCCTTTGTGAAATGGCAGTGTCAGCTGATATGTGCTGTGTACTGGCAAAAAACCTGAAGTAACAACTTGCAGTTTTTCTTGGCCTTGTGTTTTGAAGTGGAAGGTAGCTCATAGATCTGTAGTTGTATTTGACCCTAAATCAATTTTAGGCACTGAACTGTAGTGACTCTTCAAGTTATCTGGCTTTTTCTTGAAGCCAACTTGTGCAAATATCAAGCTGTTATCTTATGAATGTTCTCTGCAAGTGTTGCTGTAAAAGTTTGTATTTTGTCTTCAGTGGAAGAAAACTGAAACAGTTGTAATCACAAAACCAAATTGATAAATAAAATCTGTTGAATGGAATTTTACTTGTAAACTTTCTTTAATGTGAGCAATCCCAGAGGGGACTGTCTGCTGACTTTCTGGAGATAAGAGCTGTTTTCCATAGGAATTGAGAAACACTGCAGGGAAAGAAGGTTTGAAGAGTTAAGTTAGCTCTCCTAAATACAGTATTAAGTTTGCATTTGGTATATGTAGCAGTTCAGATTTAAATTGTCGCCAAAGGAATTCTCATTTAGGTCATGTTTTCCATGTTAGTTTAACAGTGTTCTCCCCTTAAAGCCAAAGAACAGCAAGGCATTTATTAAATGTTCCACTTGCAACAACCTGTAAGGTTTAATGCTCCTCTTTCCAATAGCAGAGCTTATAATACTGGATGTCAGCCTCTAAGGTGGAAGAGGGACTGCAGTCTGTGGTTCCAGGGAAGCTGTTGTTAACCCATACACTGTAGCATCTTTTCATGTTAAGATCTTCGGCCTTCATGACAAAGGTATTGATCTGAGGCTTACTTCTTTCCTGACTGCATGAGAAGGAGGAGGATAGTTGCTAGGGAATAACTGTCAGTATGCTTGGAGAACAGAGGGTGTGCAATTCTGTAGTTGCAGACTGACTGAAATGATAACCAGTTCTGAGTGAAGTAACATCAGTAGTTTCACATCATGACCTTCATGCTTTTGTGAGTAGTGAATGAAGCGTGAATGTGTCGCTAGGTAGTATTGACATCACTCAGTCTCATATTATGCGAAATTGCAAAAACTTTAGTAGTGTTTCTGGAAAAGCTGTATGGAAATGGAGGAACCTAGAGCTTCCTGATGTGCTATGCCTTCCAGACAATTATCCACTTACTGCACACAGTCAAGGACTGAACTAAGTTTTTGTTACACTGCAGCACTGAAAGCCTGCGCACAATTGTTTATCCCTATAGTACCAGTCTTGTGTTACTGCTGTTCTTTGAAGGTAGTCTTCTGTACGTATAGCATTCATTCAAAAATCATCTTTGAATTTTGCTGTATTGAGTAATACTTGAAGAAGTATTTTATCAAGAAGCTGTAATTAGCCTGAGACAGCCCTTTCTTTTTTACTGCTGCACTGGCACATAAGTGCTTCATACTGATGATATTGTTCTACTTCCAAATTGGCATCTGGTTCCTGGAATGTGCTAGAATTGCATTTGATGGCTTCTTTAGTGACAGTTGACCTTGGATAGTTATCAGTCACCTTGTCATTCATTTAAGGCCTATCTTAAAAAGAACTCAAGTTATTTGACAACTGATTTCATAGCATTCTAAGTATATTGTGACTTGTTTTGATGTGGCAGCAGGCTTGAATGAAATGATTTTTTTTTTTTTTTTCAGTAATGGTGAAGGATGTCAGCCTTATTCTGGGAATCCTCTAAATACTGCAGCATTTCTAATGGAAGTTAGAGTTCCTTTACTCAGTGTTTAACTAATGCAATGCTGTTAAGGGTTGCCTGAGTTTAACTGTACATCTTAGTTATAAAAAGAGTACTGAGGTATTTGATTATTCATGTTCACAAGCATCCAGGGATGTGGATGATGCTAAAAGGCACATAGGTTAGTGTTCTAACTCATGAAGAGCTGCAATACAATTTGACACATCTCTGAAAGACAGCTTTGAGTCCTTTATTGGCTAGGCCATAAAAGCAAGCTTTTTTCCATGCAAGAGAAATACAGATAAACTTATGCCTTTTTTTTCTGTTTTCTTCTGGTTAGTATAGCATTGTGCAAGGAGCTACCCTTCTTCCCCTTTCGAGGGGGAGGGGAGAGAAGGTGCTGGGGAAGGTGGAGATGCTGACACTTCCGATGAGTCCTCTTTAAACAGGCATGAGAGGTTCAGTGTACAGGCAGCAACCTCTGGGGAGAGCACACTGTGTGGGGCAGGATGTGGTGGTCAGGGGTTGCAATAGGAAAGCAGTTAAAAAAACAAACCAAGAAAAACACCCAAACACCAGACCCAGTCCTTTCGCTCTAAGCACTTAGCTATGCTTTGCACCACCCTGTCCCAAGGTTACCACAATAAAGAGAAGCTGTTTGGTTTTGACTGATAGCCTTGCCTGTCTGTGCTGCATTGTCTGTGAAGGGAGGAGATGCAGTGCTGCTCTTGCTCAGAAGGAGGATATGCATCACCCAGCACCTAAAATAGGTTAGCAGATTAACTGACTGGGGTTGGTATCAAACACTGCATCCAAATACATTGAAGTACATACAGCACTGAGGTATTACTGCCTCTCTTTGATTTGTATGTAAATTGTTCTTCCCTTACTTCAATGTTGCCACTTCAGTGGCATTTTCTAAAATGCCCTGGACTGATTAAAAATACATTCAGGTTTACTTCTGCACCAGCCTTTGTTTCTATAGCTGCATGAAGACAGTAGGAAGAGACTTTTCATTTAGGTGTGGTAATAGCCTGTCTGCCATTTTCTCTCCTTCCACCTGCTAGGCACCTGAAAGCATAAGTAACACATAAAAAGAGTCACCAGCCATGGCATGGTAAACAAACAAACAAAAAAACCACCACCCACCCCACCACCACAAAAAAACCTAATCTTTCCTGGACTGTTACTATCTATATACCTCCCTCCTGCCCTGTTCCCTTACTCAATTTTTGGAACATTTGGAACTTTTTTTTTCCCCCCCGTTTGCTAGCCATACATACTGGTCACCTTGCTCTTAAAGTTAAATCTTCAAAGGGATTTGACTTATTGTCCAGATGAAACCTGCCTGGGTATATATACAAATCGCAGCTTGCAAACTAGCAAAGAAGTTGCTCATTTTGCAGCCATATCAGCTTATTACCAATGCCACTGTTACTTACTGTCTTTGGTCTCTGAGTGTTTCCTCTTGTTCCATTGCTGCTTCTTGGGTCAAAATTCAAAGGATGCTGCTGAGTGGATGCTGAAAGCTTGTTACTCTGGACCTGAGCTGCAGAACCTGAAGTGTAATCAACAACACAGAGTTAAAGCAGAACTTAAGTAAATGCAAAAGCTGTTGTTTCTGACCTCTAAGCAGCATGTTAGGGTGAAAAGGCAAAAAAAACCCCACACCCCAGAAACAAAGAAACCCCAAACAAGTTGCGAACACTCAGCATAGTAGTAATAGAATAATAGATTGCTTATTCTGGAAA